GGCTTGAAAGAGTTACCACAAATTCCGGCTAAGTTCTAAATTTTGCCTTAGTTTTGTGCTTTGTTAGGATGGTCTCATAGCTCCGTTTTAAACTTTTACTTGTCTTCTTGCCTGCCTCTGGGGCCAGTTTTCTATCCCTGGAGAGAGCAACAATGAGAAAAGTTCCCTTCTGCGTTCTGTACAGTAGTAACTCTACATAAAATCCAAACATAATTTAGCATAAGGGCAGTAAAGACAGGTTAGTCTTTCCCAACTGGGACACAAGAATTTTCAGCTTCAGAGGTTTGGGGAGATGAAATTGGTGGATTCAGACAACTGGATGGTTTATAACTCAATGATTTGTATGATCACCATTGTGGTGGAACCCCCTGGACGACAAAACAACCTCAATCCTATGATCAGAATCCTATTTAGTGGAATAAGGTCCCTTTGCAGACATTTCTGCAAAGATTGTAAAAAAAGAAACCCTTGGATTGTTCCCAGAATATGATAACTGGAAATAAATTAGTTTTGTATAAGAAGCTGCCCTGATCAGTTATTATAATCAGAAGCTAATACATTCTGGTTTTTTTTAAAAAAAATATCTGAACAGGGTTTTCATTTTTTATCACAGTTTCTAATTTCTAGTTTTCTTTTTGCAGCTCTTTATCGTCTTATATACTTTTACCAATTTTCTTAGTTGTTTCTTTAAATTAAAAAGCCCTGCCTTCAGCAAATAGGTTATTACCACCCACCATACATCCACGTCACACTTCAACTAACTCTTTTCTGTATCTTCTCCAGCTCTTGATTAAATATTTAACAACAACAACAACAACAACAACAACAACAATAATAGAAGAGTTAGAAGGGACCAGGGTGGATAATAATTGATGATTTTTTAAAAAGAAATTTAAAAAATGGATTTTTTAAATTTAAATCAGATTTTTTTATTTAAATCAGACTTTTTTTATTTTGATCAAATTTATTTTAATAAAATACTTTTGAAGTAAAAATCTATCTAAATATAGTTTTCTATTTAAGATACATTAATAATTTAGTTTAATCAGCATGAAATGGAGCTTAGTTATGTAGCATAAGGCTGTATATTCTGCAATATTTACATTTTTGGTACCCAAGCTCTGCAAGCCGAGATAACATGCACTGCACTGATGCATTCACACAGTTTCACAGTAACCATGAGATAAATCATAAAACAACGTTCAGGAATTTATCCCATTGTTTTGCAAATCTATGTACACTACAGACTGTATGATTGTTTGAAGAGAAAGGCATCTGCACCAGGCTCTAAGTGTTTTAATTAAATAAAAGAATTTGAGTAGTTCTCCAACTATGTGTGATTAACCTATTAACCTAAAATAGGTTCTGATATCACTGTTTTACTAACCTGACAGCTTATTATTCTAAATAGGAAACCTTAAAGATTCTAGCTACCAGCAAGAATGAGTCTGTACATTTAAAGAGCACCTGTCATTTCAGATCCATCATGGCAGCGCCTGTTAGCGGGCGTCCACTCACCTGCTGCCCACCACGTCCCTCACCTTGTTGTGTCACTGCCGCATCACCAGCCGTCCCAATAAAGTGAATGGGACAGTCGGTGAGTCAACAGTGGGTCAGAGGAGGAGCCGCTGCAGATGACAGTTGCTCTTTAAAAATTATGATTTAAATCGAGTTGATTTAAATCAAGCCTTGTTGCTAGTGATTTAAATCATGATTTAAATCGATTTGATTTAAATCAAATCCATCCTGGAAGGGACCTTTGAGGTCTTCTAGTCCATCCCCCTGCTCAGTCCATTTCGGAATGGACTGTCCTGAGTGTAGCATGTTATTCATTGCAGGTTTGAAGCTTTTTATGTGTAGAGAGTAAGGAAAATGATCTTGACAGAGTAATGCGGGAACCATTACCTAGGCAAAGGGCTGAATTTTTTTTTAAAGTACAGAACAGTGAGATAATATTCAGGAAGACGCCTCCCTAATCCTCTAAGTATAAGGAGGAGTAGGAGTAGGTACAGCTCAATCAGACCTGCAAGATAATTATAGTCAAATCTCAATAAAAATAGTTTTAGCCTTCTTGTGGAGTTGATTTTCCTGGTCTGCTCTACCCAGTGAGGCTGACAGTAGAAGCCATAAGTTCCAGAGATAGTTACATCCATCCCTTCAGAGACATAGGATAGCTTATGAAAACATAAACAGTATTTCGTTATTAATAAAAATTTTATGGATTTTTTAAAAATCTCTTAATAACTTGCATGCTAAGACTAATGTGTGCTAATAACAATAATTAACTCAGAGGCAGCATGCTATAATAGGCAAGGTGCTAGGCTGGGAAGGTGAAAATGCAGATTCTGTTCCTTCTTCATCCAGTAAAGCTCACTGGTTGTTTTTGGGCCAACTGCCCCCTCAGCACAACCTACTTCACGGGGTTGTTGTTACAGAGAAAAGCAGAAAGAAAGAATGCTGTGTACACAGCACTGAGCTCCTAAATGAAAGGCAAGACATGGGGTTAATAAAAGTATAAAGCAAACAATGGTTGAGATGACTGAATCAACAAGCTTTCCAATCATCTGGGACTTTTCAAGTATCAACAGGCTGTTTACTTGAACAGCTGAAATCAAAGAATTTGGGTGATGTGGTTTTCTCAGAATCAGATCTGTGGTTAGGCAGAATGAAGCAGGCACTTCATGCAGCTAACTTGGAAGTCAGGGCTGCTGGATCCTCTCATTGGCCCTGTCTTTTGCTGTCCCCAGATGTAGGGAAAGATGTGGTCCCATTGCTAATGTTAAAGTAAACGTTAGCCGCTAATCCAGTTTTTATCAGTACACAACATAGAATTTGAAAGTCTCAGGTAGCAAAACATGTAAGGCCATCCTGGAAACTTACAAAACAGGCAACAGCGGCTAAGCTGATCGTGGAAAAAAAAGAAATGCCCAGAATTTGTAACAACATATCTATGAGACTGTTTGAAGGATTATGAAACAATGTGGAAGCTTCTGATTTTCAAAGAACTTTGCAGCTGGCCAGATAGTTAAAAAATTGCAGGAAGGGCCAAGGAAAAGAGAGAAATGTACTTAGTATTTCTTCACCTGGTTCCAGTCCTAGACAGAATGTTTAAATCATCTGGGAGATGTTAACTGGATGTAATCAGATACAGAACCGTGCTAACATTGCACTAAAGTCTTGCCAGATCATGCAGAGAAAAAGAAACACTGAAAGAATTGTCAGTCCCCATTCTTGGAAATAAAACATCCTGCTGCTAAAAGACAAAATTCTTTCCATCTCTGTGAAAGATGCAAGTCCCAAATTATGAAGCTCTTTAGTAAGCTATGTGAAGTGCTTACTGGTTGTCACAACTTAAAAATCATGCTTGGGAAGTAAAAATATTTTCACATTTGGGTAAATCATATTCTTTCTGAAATATATGTTGATGGTCTTAGGGTTGAGATAAATGTGTACATTTCAGATCTGAATGTTTAATGAGTATATGGGTTCATGCTTGGTATAACATTCAAATCATGTTTCACTTGCATTTCTGCTACCTCCTTTTCCTTGTGGGAAATTTCTCTACCTTTTCCCCTGTACTTGTTTATGGCCTAAGTCTGTGATTTGCAGACACAAGGAACCTTTTTTTATTTATTCAGGTAAAAATGATGCCAAGAAAATGGAAAGTTGCAAGAGTTGTTATAGCTTAACCAACTGTTACTATTGAAGTCTGGATTGCCTGTTAAAGAAAATGAAAGTGGCCAGCAACATTAATTGTAAAAATCATCAATATCCCTCAAATAAGCAACAAGCAACAAACCGATAGCGGAGAACAAGAGCAAAAAACAAACAAGCACAAATTTGTGATGTATTGGATTGTAATTGCTAGCCACTTGTCCTAGTTCATGAAAATACTAAAAGCAAAATGGAAGTTCCTCTGTTCGTTGAAAAGGATACTGCTCTGTCACATCACCAGCAGGAAATGCAACGTGATATCCAAACAAACAAATGGACCAGTAATAAATCCATTTAAAAAATGCCAAGTTTTCACATGCATTTGACAGTTTTGCGTTGTCTCTGTGAAGGATATTCCTCAGGGCAGGAGCCCTGTTTTGGGAGATGTTGAACCTCAGATGCTAAAGGAACGAAAGCTTCAGCTCTGACATTGACTATAGCAGTGATGGCGAACCTTTTAGAGACCGAGTGCCCAAACTGCAACCTAAAACCCACTTATGCATCGTCGGGTGCCGGGTGGGTGTGGCCCATTGGGTGGGTGTGGCCCATTGGGTGGGCATGGCTGTGGTGGTAATGGCAGACTGGGTAGGACTAAAAAGTTCAATCAATCAATTCCAACTTTGCAAGATCTTTTTTTTTCCCACGAGAAGTTGAAATTGACTGATTGATTGACCTTTTTTTTTGCACATGGCGGCGGAGGCCTAAAGCGAAAAGGTTTTATAAAACCCAGCTGAAGGCCTAGGACTGGGGCGACGGCACGCGTGCCCACAGAGAGGGCTCTGAGTGCCGCCTCTGGCACCCGTGCCATAGGTTCGCCACCACTGGACTATAGCATGTGGGAAAAGAATATAAGATATAGGGGAAGTATAACTTAAAATTGTAGCCCCTGAAGCCAAGAATAGCTTTCAAAATAAGAATTTGAAACTGGAAACAAACAGATAAATATAGACTTAACAAGGCTGGAATAATACTCGGTGATTTGTCTCTGATAGCAGGGTAGCAGTTAACCTCTGAAGACCAACGAACATTTTTAAGGATATCTTAAGGCCCATGTAGTATATGTGTTACAGTAGTCCAGTTATATACTAGTAAAGAATGGGTGGCCTTGGCAGGTCTGTTTTCTCTAAGAAAGGATGTCACAGAGTTATTAAGCAAACATCAATGTCTCCTGCTATATAGAGAATGGTTTAGAGGAGCTGAGTCTCAGTTTATTGGCTGAGATAAATCTTAATTGTTCCAACAGAAATAAGCATTGTGTCTTAATCCTTGTCTGTATTTTCAAACAGCCTCAGCTCTGTGCCTCCAGAGTCTGGTATCGTGGCCGACATTGATTTGGAGAACATCCTGTCTCTGAGCAGCGAGAACTTCTACCAACTCAAGAGCCAACCCATTGGTGTCAGGTAGGAAGGGCGATGCATAGTTATGCCTGGGCTCTGTGAAGCTACAATATTATCTTTCTGCTTCTCAGTTACTAGGGTGGTGGGATAAGATAAAGGGAAGGAGAATTTCTGAATATTCCAAGATCAGATGATACTATTGAGAGGATTTTCCTTGGGTTTTTTTTTTTAAGCGCAGTTCATTCATTTCTCTGGCACATTTTATTCTGTCACTTGCAGGTAGATTACATAATCCTTCAATTCTACGTTTTCAAAATGACACATTTAATTGTGGGTGCTTCATTTATTTATCATTGGCCTTTCTCAGGTTTTATAGTATTTTTTCCTGAACTTCAGATAGCCCTGAGATTTAGTTTAAACTATGGCTTTTAAAGATGAGATTTTTATATTGTTACCTGTAAGAAAAAGAAAGACAGGTAAGGTAATTCAGGCTAAGGCTAAGCTAAATAATGTATCTTGGTTTTTTTGTTAATCTTCCTCATTGGCCAAAATTGCTGTCACATTTTTTTCCCCTAATGCTTGCACACATTTATGTTCATAAAATTCAATACCAGATGCTTCCGTTGACATAGTAGACTTTTGCCTGGTACATATTTTTGTCTATTTTAAAAATAAAACCTTATTCCCCTATCTTTTAAAATGGGACTGGTCAAACATTCTTAAATGGAGCTGGACTTAGTTTCCCAAATGATCCCTTTTAATTATGTGAGTTTCTTCTCTTGTAGTATATTAAACACTGAATTTCCCCAAATTTCTAGCAAATGGCCATGGCAGTTTAAAACCTGGATGTTTTTCTGTTCTTCATCTGATGCTCTGACCTCAGGTGAATCATCTTCGTTTAAATACACATGAACATTTTTAGACTACAGCATATTATCATCACGAAGCAGTTTACAGCAGTAGTAATTGTTGCAAGATTGTGGTGTAAGAATTATGCTGAAGGTTGGATGATTGAGCTTTGGCCAAAGAAATTGCTGGTGTAGTGATTGTTCCTTGATCAATGTTAACTTTTAGATGTAGTGAAATTGTCAGTTTTTTTAATGCAATGCAAATAGTGTGAAGGAAGACAGTCAAGGCAAGGGAAATTTCATATTTCATGAACTTGTTGCTGATGTATCAAGGTATCTACCTTTGCAAACTACACAATGTGCTATTGGACTCTCTAATCCAAAGCAAAGTTACCCTTCAGGTTTTACTTAGTGCCAAATTACTTCAGATTATGTATCACGTTACACTTTATTCCAGCTTCACAGCACACATCCATATATGAAATAGTACATGCAGTATTTATATGCAAAGTTTCTTCAGATTTCTGCCCAGGAATTATTGTGAGGGGTTGGGTTGGGGTTTTTTTTTTTGCCTCTTATTGACAGAGTACTGCTTTCTCTGTAGGGCTCTCAGGAAAGATAAGACACCATAGGGTAAAGAAAGGACTTTGACTTGAGGAAATTATAGTTGTAAACAGGAGGGAGATGAGATCCCAGAGAGGAATATAAGTCAATAAAGTCATCTATTTTATTTTAAGCAAAAGGGAATTTAGAATACCTCTTCACTTAGCATACCTGGAATTTTAACATCTTGCAATATGCAATGTGTGCGCATATACTTTAAAAGAGAGTCAGAAAAGGTGAAGGAAGAGCAAGTTGGAGATTATATTTAAGAACTGTGGTGATTTGAGTAAAGGTATCCCTTTAAACAGGAATTTGACCTCTAAGCCACTATAGTTCCTGATCAGCTTTAACAGGAACTACTGTATCACCGGGATGACTATGGCAGATCTGAAGGAACCGGTGTGAGACAGGGGCATGGAGAGTGCTGATCCCTAGAGTGGCCAAGAGTCGGACACAACTGAATGGCTGACAACAAAGACGATGTATCTAAACCCTCAAGCTTCTCTTCCCTATCCAAGAAGTTTGAGACGATTTTTTTCCTTCACTCCCCCTCCTTTTTTAAAATTCCAGATTCTATAGAGAGGCACCACATCCCATATCTCAGTTGCCTTTTTCCTAGTTTGCAGTTTATGAGCAGCAACATTCTTATCAGTTTCTGAGCAGCCAAGAGTCTTAGTAATCAAAGTGGCCAACTTTGCAACAATGTAATTATAAAATACATAATAGAATGTGTTGCTCTTAAATGTTCCCTGAATTTTTTTTTCCAACTGGAATCTATGCTCTAATGCACATGTCCCCCAGCCCACTAATATGTGGCCAGCCTCCGTTAACAGAATGCCTGCAATTCTGTTGGAAGTACAGTTCCCACAATTTAAAACCAATAGGGACTATTGGTCTGGTCCAGGGGTAGGCAACCTTGGCTGTTTTATGACTCGTGGACTTCAACTCCCAGAATTCCTGAGCCAGCTGTGCTGGCTCAGGAATTCTAGGAGTTGAAGTCCACGAGTCATAAAAGAGCCAAGGTTGCCTACCCCTGATCTAGTCCAAAGTTTCCCAGTCATGGCAAATCTCAGATATGTGGACCAGTTCCCAGAATCCCCCAGCCAGCATGGCCATGACTAAAAAGTCTGAGAGTTGATGTCCACAAATCTGGAATTTTCCATGCTAGAGAAAACTCATTACCAATTGTTCTCAAAGGGAATTGTTTCTTAGCTTTTCTCCTGGTGCTATTTTTCATTTGAAGTTGGATGGGATTGAACAGAGTGGAAAGCACCTCTGTTTTCAAGCAACTATGACTCCAGCTCTGTTTTAATAACTTCAATTTTAAATTTCTTTGAAGTGTGTGTGTGTCTCTCTCTCTCTGCTGTTCTCTGGCAATTCTAGAAGTAGCCAGAATAGAGTAATGGTTTAGAGAATGTTAGGTTAGTGTTAGAGTGGTTAACATTCAAATGCCCACTCAGTCATTAATGATAAGGTCTGATAGTATCTTTCCATGTTAATCTGCTGCTGTGAGGATAAATGTGTGGGGGGAGGGGTTGTATGTTGCCTTGGAGGGGGAAAAATGAGTCAAATAAAAAAATGTAAGACAGTAATGTAAAATTGCCTTGTCTCTCACTGCAGTTTCTTCCAAATGAAATTCTTAGCTGCCACCTTATCTTCCTTCAGAACAATCTGTTAGTAGATATCAATGGAAGGAGGGAAGGGGTCTCTTTCACTTGGCCATGATTACATCTAGTTGTGGAATAAAGTTTTCTAGGGAATGCCTATACTGGTCATGATTGATTCTGTTCTATCAAGTTGGAGTCAACTCTTAGCGACCACATAAACAGAATTTGTCCCTGAGGATTTGTCCCTAGTCTAGACTTTCAAGTCTTTGAAAAGTGCACCCCGCAATAACTGGATCCATCTACCTTGCTGAGGGTCATGCTCTTTTTCTCTTTCCTTCCACGTGTCGCAGCATCAGAGCTAAGTCTTCACATAGTGTCCAAAATAAGATAATATGAGCCTGATGGTTTGTGCCTCAAGTGAAAACTCTAGGTTGATTTGTTGGGCAATTCATTGATTTCGCTGTCCACAATATTCTCAGGAGCTGGGTCCTTGAAGGCTGTTGTCAGCCTGCAACCTGACAACGTATCTCAACAATTGCCCTTACTGGGCATCAGGAAAGATATACTGTATCTCCTATACATACTATTTTAGTGCATCATTGTTTCATTAGTGGAAAGAAAGCTTTATCTAACAAGTGCCTAGTCTAATTATGCTCAATGTAACAGCCTGCTTTATTTATTTATTGCATTTCTGTTGTGCTACATTCTGACAAGTCTTGGCGGCTTACTTAATGTAGGATATTAAAAAAATATGTCCCACTTGTATTCGGGAGCTGGTATTCTTTTAGCAGAGAGGCTTCTTTGGAGAATGTACCGGCCAGAGCAGTAAAATAATTCTGATGGTCTCCTCTCTCTCTCTCTCTCTCTCCTTCTTCCAGCCCTCCAAGGGCCCCAGCTGAAAGTCCTAACATGTCATCCCGGGTTCTACTCCGGCAGCAGCTTATGCGGGCACAGACGCAAGAACAGGAACGTCGGGAGCAGCGGCAGGCAGCACAGTTCACTCCTACACCGGCTGCACCAGCCACACCGGCTATTTCTGTGAGCCCACTAGCTCGCCCTGCACCTGCCCAGGTGCCTGTGGAGGTATTGAAGGTAAGAGAAAAGAGGAAGCAACTCTGCCTTGGAGGGAAATCAGGTTTCATCCTAGAAAAAAAAAAAACCTAGTTAGAAGAAGAAGACTTTGAGATTGAAAGGCGATCTGAAAGGGATTCTCCTTCACTTGAAATATTTTCATATTTACAAAGGGTACACAATAACACTGGAACTGCTTTTGGAGCCCTAAGGTAGCTTCTCTGCCCTTCCTCTCATTTTTTGGCCATAACTGCTTGGCCCCAGGGCTCTTTCACCCAGTTCCATTTCCTTGCATCCATATCTCTGTAGTCATGGGACAGAATGACATAACCCAGTGGTGGCGAACCTATGGCACGGGTGCCAGAGGTGGCACTCAGAGCCCTACCTGTGGGCACGCGTGCCGTCGCCCCAGTCCTAGGCCTTCAGCTGGGTTTTATAAAACCTTTTCGCTTTAGGCCTCCGCCGCTGTGTGCAAAAAAAAAAGGTTCAATCAATCAGTCAATTTCAATTTCTCATGGGAAAAAAAATCTTGCAAAGTTGGAATTGATTGATTGAACTTTTTAGTCCCACCCAGTCTGCCGTTACCACTGCAGCCACGCCCAGCCAATGGGCCACACCCACCCAATGGGCCACACGCACCCGGCACCCGACAATGCATAAGTGGGTTTTGGGTTGCAGTTTGGGCACTCGGTCTCTAAAAGGTTCGCCATCACTGACATAACCTCTTTCTCCATGCAAAAGTCTGAGAGCTGCATTCCTTGATCTGGTATATATCTTATTATATTGGGCATCCCTAGTTCAATATTTTTAGCAATGGCCACTCTGAACAGGGACTCTGGGAATTGGAAGTCCAAACATCTGGAAGACCCTCGAGTTGGAGGAGGCTGTATTATTTATTCCTTGTGTCATGTTGCAATTGGTTCCTGAGTTACTTAGAGGCCTGTTGCCTTCTGCAACAGGTAGATGGAAGGCCGCAACTCTTAGCAATGCTCATCTTGGCTAGGGAATGCTAGGGAGTTGAAGTACACACTTCTGGAGGATGCCCAGGTGGGGGATCTATGTATTATGTATTCCTTGGGACAGCTGTGATTGGCTACTGAGAATCCAGCTCTCCTATTGGACAAAGAGAAAGAGACATCAATTTACGTCAGTGTTCTTTATGTCACCTGTTTATAAATCTGATTTAAACCAACACAAAATACATTGGCAAATTCTCTGAAAATAGATTTAAGTTCAAGCTGACTGGATGTCCATTTTCCCCACCTTCATATTTCCCGATGCCAGGCTATGCTGCAGGTGCAGTGGCACCTCTTCACCCGGGGTGCAAATTTGAAGGGTAAATTTGAATTCATTGGGAATAGCAGGGAGAATTTGCTTGACAGGCAGCAGTCTTTGCTTGACAGGCATAAGCTTGGCTCCTTCTGTTAATTTGATTACATTTGTGTACGTAACTGAGGGTGAAGTTCATATTCAATTTGCCAGCGTTTAGGGATAGAGGTAGGCTTTCAGCTCGCTAGGTTTGGTGCGTTGCCTTCAGGATTTCTGAATGCTTGGAAATTGTCTTGCAAATAGTCAAATGGCACTGCCCAAGTGATGGTTGACTCATACTTTCCCTCTCTTTTTCTCACTTGAACTCAGGTTCAAACCCACTTGGAGAACCCCACAAAGTACCACATCCAGCAGGCACAGAGACAGCAAGTCAAACAGTATCTTTCTACTACTATGGGGAGCAAGATGTCAACCCAGGCATTATCCGGAACTAGCCCTGGTGCACCCACCTGCTCACCACAGGCTGTTTCAGGTCCTGAGCCCCCACCTGGTTTGGCTCACCAGCAGGGAGTGGCAGGAAGCACTGGCAGTGCCCCCAATAGCCCTATGGCAATGCTCAACATTGGTTCCAACTCTGAGAAAGAAGTGAGTAGAAATTCCCCTATCACCTTCATCTCTCATATTCCCACTGCCTTTCTTTGCCTTTTCCCTCCATTCTTGCTTTCTGAATATTTCCAGTAGCCACCCCTCCCCCCCTCCGCTCATGTCAGATACGTCTAATCCCACCCCGCTCTCCTCTCTGTCAGATTGATGATGTCATTGATGAGATTATCAGCCTGGAATCCAGCTACAATGATGAAATCCTGAACTACGGTGGCCTACAGATGCCCAGCACTGTGAGTAGCTTTTGATTTTATATATATATATATAATCGTGGAAAAAAGCCTGCGACGTCCTAAAGACTGAATGTATGGTTTACATTTTCATACGCCCTAAGTTGACTTGAGCAAGTGGAAATTGATACCATGAAAAGTATTAGACTAAGGGGGAGGCAGCATCTTCTCTTATACCTCCTTCCATCTTATTGGGGTTTTTTTACTACCGTATTTTCCAGCGTATAAGACGACTTTCTAAACCCTGAAAATCTCAAAAGTCGGTCGTCTTATACGCCCAGTCGTCTTATACGCCGGAAAATACGGGTATTCTATTTTATTCCTTTACACATGTGGTTTGGCATATTACTCATCAAGTTTTCTCTCCCCCCCCCCTCTCTCTCGCTCAAACTCTATATTTTAACTGGAAAAGTTGGGGGTCGTCTTATATGCCCAGTTGTCTTATACGCCAGAAAATACAATACTTAAAATACAGGATTTGTGCCCTAAATTGGTGGAAACTATTCCGTTATAATAAAGAGTGTTTTTGTCCAATACTGGCTATGTACCTTGGGTAATTGGGCCGGGGGAGGGGAAAGCTGCTGTTGCAAAAAAGGGGGGAAGGTTATTTGACCCAGAGGCTTTGGATCACCCGTCTCTCTTTTCTGTGCCCATAAGATTCTCTATTGGTTTTGATCCACAAGAATAGTAGGATGACTGCTTTGAACTCTTCAAATAGATAAATTGCTTGGTATAAAATGTGTTTGAGAGATGGAGAGAAGTAAGTAAAGTATTACAAAGAACAACCAATTTGGAAATATCAGTCATTTTCCTCTTCACTAACACAGTAGAATCAAACTAAAAAAAAAAAGATAAATAAAAATAAAATAATAATGTTTTTATTTTAACTCTAATGCTTTAAAAAGTACTTCTCCAGAGTACATCACCTCCAAGTGGTTGGTTTCTTAGGCATTCTCAGTAAATATCAATAATTAAAATTAACCTGTTATTGTAGATATCTTTTGCATTTTATATATCTTCTGTTTCGATGTCAAAGGTGTATAGTACCCATTTATTTCTTCACAAGAGTATCCTATTGGCCATAAAGATAAGCCAACGTGGAGTAGTGGGCAGAATGTTGGACTGGATTGGGGAGATATAGAATCAGAACCCCATTCAACGGGAAACAATCTCCCTCATTGATTTGGGGTTCATCCATAGCTCTTAGTTTCCAGGCACTTGCCTTCCGATCTAGATTGGGAGATCTAGATTAGAAGGTAGATTAGAAAGTAGCCATCTAACAGTACAGCAAAACTTTCTGAGCTACTAGCCTGGAAGTCCTTTCAACAACTCTTCTCTGTTCCGCACAGCTGCCAGTCTCTGGAAACCTCCTGAATGTGTACCCAGGAATGATGGAACCAGCTGTAACTGTCAGCAACTCCTGCCCGGCTGACCTTCCCAATATCAAGAGGGAGATGTCAGGTACTTAATTGGGGGAATTGAAAACATGCCAAAGTTGAGCATAGAAGAGTGCTACATTGCAGGACATGAAAACAGTGATATAATCAGAGTTGACTATGGTGGGCGTTTTAGGAGGCGGGAGTTTAGGTTTTGCTCCTAGAATAGCTGCCTGGAGGTTATGTCTCTTTCTCCACACAGGAGGAAAGATCAGTGAATTTGTTCCTTTTAGAAGTTGAAGGAAGAGTTTGGGGTGTGCAAGGGCAACCATAATGCTGCCATGCCTGGCATCTGGATTTCCTCTAGTCTCTCTAGACCAGGGGTAGACCAGGGGTAGGCAACCTTGGCTCTTTTATGACTCATGGACTTCAACTCCCAGAATTCCTGAGCCAACCATGACTCAGCTTGGAAACCTCTCCCTTTCCCCTCAGCATGGCTGGCTCAGGAATTCTGGGAGTTGAAGTCCATGAGTCATAAAAGAGCCAAGGTTGCCTACCCCTGCTCTAGACCCATATAAGAAAGTAGCTGGACATGGTGGGTAGCTTTATTATTATTATTTCTGTCTTATTTTGTGCCCCTTTGCAGAAAATGAAACCAAAGCATTTCTGAAGGAAAGGCAGAAGAAAGACAACCACAATTTAAGTGAGTGGCCTCTTGGATGGACTATCCATGACTTTCTATTTTGGGTTTGAAATGGATATTTCAGTACTGAGAAAAAAGGGCAAAAACGTTTTCATGTCTATGAGACCCCCTATATATGCTTACCTGCTTATTTTGGTAAAAGAAAACTGACTTATATGAGGTCAGAGGTCAGGTCATGTTTTGTCCTATCTCCTCTGATTGGCTCTCTCGCATTTTCATCTTCTACATGATCCTTTTGAATAGGGCTTAAAACTGTAAAAAAAAAAATCTACAGGCAAAGCAGGCACTTGATCACTAAGTTCTAATCTCTTTGAAATCAGCAGAACTTTATTCTGAGTAAAAATGAGCAGGATGTAGCAAATCATTTTTTTTTCTCCCTCAGACAAAACAGAGAGAGAAAGAGAGAGAAAGAAAATCAGGAGTAAAAGTTTGTGAAATTGGACATAATTATTCTATATTGGCCTGGTTTACTGTCTCAGTATTTAAATGCAGAATTGGTTTGGCCTGTTTGCACATCTTAAATTTTCAAAGCCTGAAAGTAAGAGTCAAAATTTTGCAGGACTCAAAAGATAGTAGACTTGATTTTCTAACTTTAAATTATATTATCAAATAAGCTAAGGTAGTGACTATTGTGTTACCTGTGTGAGAGACTTATCGTATTGATATTATCGTCAATATTTTCCTCGACCGTACCGGTGATCTGAAGTGTTCCTGACGAAAGTACTATGTTTCTTTGTTTTCTTACCATTCCCTGAATGTTATTCCCTTTCACACAATTTTTACACATTAGAAGGTGTTCATTCTTACTCGAGTCGTATTTCAACTTCCCTATATATGACACATTATGCAGCAAGGCTGATTCATACAGCTTCCAGGAAAAGAGTCAAGAAACTAATTAAAAACAACAGATGAAATGTCTTGAACAAGCAAAAATTCTCCACTGTTTTATATTAAATATTAAAAGCTTAACATAAATATTTAAATAGTGGCTAGTAGTTGGGGAAAAGAAAGAAGGGAAGGGAAGAATTTCAAATTCTCCTTCACAATATTTTTACTTGGGTCCTTTTGTATCTTTTTTCTTCATTCTTTTGTAATCTTGAACCATATACAATATAATAAATTACATATTTTAATCAGTTAAGCATTCCCCTCCATTTTAATTAGGATGTTACATTTTGGGAGAGAAGAAGAGGAATTGTGTGCTTTCTTGGAAGAAGAATTTTCTACCCTTTTTTTTGTGTATGAGATAAAAAAAAATATTTATTTTATGTGCTGCTCTCCCGAACATGAGACCTCCTTAACTGAATGAAAACCCATATTTCAGTTTCTATGTAGCATGAAGGCTTTTTTTTAAAAAAATCCTTGGGCAAATTTTTTTTCTGTGAGATCCTTAGTAATAATGAAGGCTTTAAGCTGAAAAATCCGGGCAATCTAAGATCCATTATTGTTGAGAGCAAAGATCAAGTGGCTTCATTTGAAAGTGACTGTTAAATTAAGCATATGTTGGCTTGGAAGCTAGGAATACTATACTAGGTGGGCTTGTGAGAATCTGATTCATGGGGGGGGGGACTGTGGAAAGGTTGGTTTTGACCCATTGCAGTCCAGAAGTGGAAGAGAGAATAAAATGATATGGCTGCCAGGCATATAACACTGATGAAGCCTGAGGTAGAATAAGCAGCTAGACCAGTGTGTAGAAGATGCCTTGGATTGGCCTATCAATTAATAATAATAATAATAATAATAATAATAATAATAATAATAATAATAATAATAATAATAATAATAATAAAGTTGGAAGGGACCTTGGAGGTCATCGAGTCCAACCCCCTGCTCAGGCAGGAACCCTACACCATTTCAGACAAATGGCTGTCCAGTCTCTTCTTAAAAACTTCCAGTATTGGAGCATTCACCGCTTCTGG